ATTTTTTTCAGTGCTGAAAAAGAGATGCATGATATTCATGAGATGCAGTGTAATGAGTCCTGTGGTCCATTATTAAGTTATGGTAACATAATACTTTTGAAAAGCATTTGCTTTCTTGTCTAAAATGATTTTCCTGTGACTACCGTACTGAACTACAAGCATCAGCTACTTTTTACATGTACAATAACTTCACGGAACTGCATCTCTCAGATAAAACATAACTATAATTATTTTTTGCAAGAAACTAGCAAGTATTTTTGTTTTTCCACTTAAGTCACGCAAGCTCCATGCTCTTTCATTTTCGATTGCAAAACATATATACACACACATACATATGTAGGTGTCATTCCCTTAGCAGTTACTGAGGTTGCACTTTTATGATACGGCTAAGAAGTTCTGCCTGTGAGCTGTGGTCTAAGATGCGCCCCACTTCTTCCATCTTTTATACTTCTACTTCCCTTGTGTTACATTGATGCCCACCTGGCTACACTGTGAGCTTCCAACGTAGAGAGCTAAATCAGTAGAAATCCAGCCCAGAAAAAACACACACACACAAAAAATAAAAACCACGCACACAACCTTTTTGCCTATTTAGCTCCAGATTGGGGATCATGGTTTGGAGGAGTAGTGCAAGGGACACAGTGGGAGTATGCAGCAGGTCAGAGGACACTTCTTTTCAATGACATGGACATTGGCTCATGTTGAAACCACAGCTTTACACATCACTGAGCTCTACAACTGGCACCTTCTCAGATGAAATCAACAGCATTAGTTACCATACTTATATGACTTGCATGTAGCAGTATAATTTTAATATTAGGAATCATCATTACTGATAGTTATGGATGCACTGGTTTTTTTTTGGTGGTAGCCATCATTACATAGTACCTCTTGGCCCCTCTGGTACAGAGGTCTCCATACTAGCTGATGAGAAGGCAGCTCCTTCGTTCTATTCTAGTTTGCACTGTTTGGAAGTAAAAAGAAAGAAACCTAAAAGCTCTGTCAAAGGCGCAGACCTCACTGCAGGACAACTTAGCAGTACCACTTGGTTCGTGAAACACACCTCACTGCACTGCATTGCAGGAGTCCATTCACCTCTTGTCCTCAACCATGAAGCTTTATTTTAAGACAACAGTAAGGATTTAGTCCAATATCACTCACATCAATACATGGTAATCAACTGCTATTGTTATTACAATTTTTTATAAGTAATCTTTTAAATCTTTTGAGGAATGATTTTCCAACCACCAACATACATGGACAGTGGGTGCCTGTCAAACTGTGTATTACTTCTTATAACACTGGCTTAGAATCCTCTAATAAAAAAAGATCTGGTAAATACTAGATGCATAAGTTTACATATTATGGTCTCTTTGAAGAAGAGACTGTGCTTTTCTGTTTGCAAAATAAAATTCATGCTTGTAGTGTTGATAATTCATTAGTTCTACTATAGGAATACCTCTATAACAGTACTTTGAAAGCACAACCAAATTACTGAGGGGGAAAAAAAAACCAAACAAACCCCACCCCCCCAAAAAAGAAAACACCCACAAAAGACTCAGAAGGTAGGGAAAAAAATACAAAGTTAAAGTTGCTTGTATGACCTTAATTCATCTCCTTTCTATCCTCAATAGAAAATGCTAGGAACTTCTCTGTAGCCTCCACTACTAGTATCATAGCAATAGCTGTTTGCAATGTCAGCATTACAAGCAAAGATACCAGGCTTAGAAGAGAATATGGGAAACTATCAAGATGATAAACTGCTAATGAAATACAAGAAGTTATTTCAGAAAAAAAAAAGCTATTTGAATTATTTGTATTTGCCGCCTTGGCCATAACGATCTGTCGGTACAGTTGTGAAGGTGCCAAAAAGTTACTTAATTGAAAATCTGGTACATGTTCCTTACTGCCCTATTTGATTTTTAAAACGTGAACTTAATTGCCAAAAATGAGAGGGGGAATATTACTTGGACTGGAGTTTGGAGAAAAAGAGAGAATTATTTTTTTATCCGTCATATATATGAAGAAAAAGTGCCCTAACACTAATATATTGATATTTGGAACTAAACACTAAAATGCCAGGTCTTGAATACCATCATTTGGTACCCATTTGTCTTGATGCTTAAAAGTCTCCTTCACAAAAGATCATTTTGCTATTTATCCCACCAAGCATTTTAGTTCTACAGAGCTGAGCTATGGTCCATGAAAGACATTAAAATTAAATCCAAGGGAAAGAAATGCAGATTATCAGATAACAACACTAAGTAGAAGGTTCATACTGTGCCCATTTCTCCTTTAGGTCTGCGGCGGATTTTCCTTGCGCTGGGCCTGGGCCCAGAATCAGGAAACAGAGAATCTTCTTCCCTTTTGTGTCTCAGCAAAAGGACTCGAAATTTTCCACCTTGAAACTCACATTACTGTGGGCTTTTCAAAACTGAAACTCTTTTACTATGGTAACAGGACCCAGTAGGTGCTCTTCATTAGCCTGATTAAGTCAGTCAAAATCTGAGGAAAGATTTAAATAAATTTACTGGGCTGTAGGTCAGCAGAATGTAAATTAAGTAAAGATGCCACTCATACTAAGTAATCCTGCAAAGAGTAGCTCTTCCTTTCCTTTAGTTCATGAAGAGCTGAGGACATCAGGTCCTCAATCTATGACTGAGGTCTAAGATCTTTTAAAAGAATATCAGGTATGCTTGAAAGCTTCAGTGGGCTTAGTAGAGGCTGGACTGAAATCTTTTCCACATGCTATACAAAACCAATTTGACTTCCTACGTGCTGGGACTTGTTTCTGAAGTATCTAGCAGCCCCATTCAGGATCTTCAGAACAGAGTTATGTTTTTAAATACCAGTCTTTCTGATGGGGAAATTGGAATTTTCCAGTCTGAATTTAAAACCATTGTCCTCATGAATATAAAAATAAGATAAAAGGGAGGTAAAAATAAAACCACCTGTGGATATTTGAGTTATTTAGTAACCTAAATAACTTTCTTATCTTTCCCTTGCCCAAAAAACACTTCTGTCACCCAGACTAGGAACAATACCATCAAAATCCTCAGGAGCGCTCTGAGGGAAAGGTATGAATGAGTGCAGCAGAACCAAGTATTTTTCTAAGGCAGGGCCTCCATGGTTGATTGCAGTAGATTTGAGCTCACTGTAACCAATGCAAGCTGCCCTGCTGCAAGCCACTTACAGTCTACAAGCAGGGTTTATTAGCTTGGGTTTAGCCTGGCAGTAATACAATTACAGGGGGCAGAATGACTGCCTGCAGTCTACTGGGAAGACATATGCTAAATATCCTAAGTTTCAGGAAATATCCTAGATCTTAACAGCTCTGCAGTCAGTGTGGTTGAGGAAATGGGTTCTTAATTTGTCTGGCTCCAGCAGAATTCTTTTTCAGGTTAACTGAGTAGGCGAAGGTTTTTTTACAGGAAACGTTCCCTCCTTCAGAATTGGATTTAAAACGATCCTGAAACAATTAAACAAGGCAGCCACAAACAAAGCAGGTCCAGCATTTAAGATCGTGATGTTATGTTAGGCTACTTCTGCCTGTAGCCAGTGAGCCAGGAAAACAGGACCTTCCTTCAGACCACTAGACCTGGGCTGGTTTAACAGCAAAAGCAGAGTCAGCTTTAGTTTGTGGACAAACAGGTGATGCTAGGATAGCCACACAGTGGACCACCCAGATAACAGATCAGATTCACCAGTCTGGTTCAGCCCTCCCTGGGGCCGCAGTGCAATCTCTGCAGAGCCCTTAGGCTCAGAGGGTTGGGCAGTGCCAGCGCAGCACAGTACAAACGCATGGAGCTTGCTCATGTCCACTCTGTCTATTCCCATCCCCTTCCTGCAACACAGAACATGGGAAAACCCAAGCACAAAGACACACTGGTCTATCCAGGCTCATTATTTACTCCTCATGGGCTTCCCTAGGCTGTGCAGTCCAAGCTCCAATCTAAGGTGCCTGTCTGCATTCACACCGGGACAGCAAGCACTGAGCACAGCAGCGGAGTGAGGAGGTAATAGTTTCCCCTGGCTCTAGCTTCGTGGCGCAGACAGAACTACAAAGCCTGGATAGACCTGAGCTGGCTCCTCATGGAAATCCCACAAATTGGTCTGTCTTGCATTCCTCCTTTTCAGGAGGGGAGTCTGCCAAGTCTCAGAATGACCAGCATGAGTCTGTCAAGATTATTCATCACAGCTCTGCACCTCAGCAAGAAATCCTGCTGCCCCTGCCAGCACAGATCTGCAACCCAGACAACCTACCGCATGTAGCTGCTGGCTGAGCACCAGAGACCTGTGAGTCAGGAGGACAGTAATTGATGTGATACTGTACCTCAGACTCCAGCTAAAGCTCTCTATACCTTGTTTCATAACTAAAATAGCAACACCACTTCCTTTTTCCCCAGCCATTTTGTAGCTTAGCTACTTACAAGCAGCTGAGTGCAGGAATGAACCCCCGCTGTGTTGCACTTACGGCAGCTGGTGCAGTGTGCACGGGTTTGTGTGAGCCAGCAGTGTTATTCCTCCCACTCCTGCATAACCGGCTGCAAGGAGCTGGGCTCATCCCCAGGCACCTCAGCCGAACGGTGCTGCCATAGATGTTACTTTCATGCAGGAGCAGGCAGCGGGTAGTGTGCCCGGGTTTGTGTGAGCCAGCAGTGTTATTCCTCCCACTCCTGCATAACCGGCTGCAAGGAGCTGGGCTCATCCCCAGGCACCTCAGCCGAACGGTGCTGCCATAGATGTTACTTTCATGCAGGAGCATGGGGTCTGACCTTTCACCGAGACCTCTGGGATTATCTTTAGGTATTTGGAGATGTGCTTTTAAGTACTATGCTCTCAAGTGTCTCACATGGCAGGGTAAGCAAGCATGTGGGCTGAGGAACAAAACACCAGACGATCCTTTTCTTCTCACTTTACCTGCCCCTGTTATGCTGAAAATAATGTACTGTGGCACTTTTCACAGCAATCTAATGAAAAATTCCTTTTTTTTCTTTCAGCTACGATGAATGTGTGGGTCCAGGAGCAACTCAAATATATATTCCCACAGATGATCCTCCCCCATATTCTCTTACGGACCCGTGTCAAAGAAATGAAATATCTATAAACATTAGCCTGGAAGGGGAAGCAGCATCTGGGACTACAGGACAGGCTGCAAATTATGCAGTCAGGCTGCAGGACTTGCAGCCGCCCATTTCATCCATCTCTTTGTCGTCTCTTACTCTGGAGGCTGCTCCCCTGTACGAGACGGTGGTGTGTGAACAGAATATCCCCATCCCACTTGTTCCAGTGGAAGTACTGAAAAATTCTTCCACCGACTATCAGACTCTTCTGAACCAAATCATGTGAATAAAAGTGGCTCTTTCCTTCAATTCTTCTGAAGAACTAAGACCGACAAAACCATTTAAATGGAAGAATAAAACCTCTGAAAGTTTTACCTATTTTATATCTTTAAACAGGGATGCAATCGGATTTTATTTTTTACAGTGAATTTTGAAAGTTTACCTAAACTTCCCTCTTTGTGCTTCAAAGTGTTCCATGACATCACACAGCATAAAAGAGCAGCAGTGACAAGCAGTGCATCTGACCTTTTTGAAGCATTTCAAAACACATTGAAATCAGCCACTCTTAATGTAGATACATGTTATCCAGTCAAGCCTACTTGTTGATTTTATGATACTTTGCATGGTTTAGAGCAGAAGGAAAAAGAAGAGCATTTTGTTGTCTTTGTAGATGTCATTAGTACATTTCATTCAGTGTCTTGGCAACAAAGCCTTTTTAAGTAATTCTTTGTCTAAATATGTATTTCAGTAGACAGAGACAGAACACTGCCTGCAAAACATGACTATCAGTACCATACAGGAGCAAAAGAAAAAGGAGAATAGTATTTTGGTAGTCACATTTTTCCTTTGGAAAGCCTGGCCAGTACCAGGCTTTCCAGACCATTGCAAAGCCTGCTGTAAGTCTTCCTCAAAAGAAACCAGCGACAAGTGATGGAGAGGTGGCAGTGGATCCCCAAGCACCAATTGGTTTTACCTGCGGAAGCTGTACTACAGCTGCGTGCAGGCCTGGGAGCTGCATGCCCTTCACAGGGACTCGATATAGCCAAGGGAAGGGCAGTGTCTGGAATCCCAGAAGATGCTTTATGCCGATTCCTACGCATGACTGCTTTTTCAGGCACTAACTGGTCTCTCTTCAGTAAGGAACCTGTAGTGTTACAAAGGACCTTGACTTCTAGTAATGGCATTAGTGTGATGTAAATAATAGATGCTGGACTTGGCATGCACAGTAGCAGAGAACCTCACTTTGTGCGGAAACCTCTTTTATTAGGCATGATCCTTTTCACTGAAATTTTGCTACCCACAAACGTAGCCTTTGTTCGTAGACCTAGCCTTCTCACACATTCATATGATAAATGCATACAAGTTGGAGATGCACGCTAGCAGGAACAGCAGAGGTAAACTGCAGATGCGAGAGTTTAATCTAACATGGTACACGAGCACCCTATTCTCCACATAAGGACTAAACTACATCTTCAACCGGTACTAGATAGCAGAGTTATCAGAGGCTCACCTCCACTAAATCTTAGAGGTATTTTCACGGGGAGGGGGGGAATAAATTTTTTTTTTTACACTCATAAAATGGACTTCAGTTCATTACTCCCCCTGAAGGATATGTAAAAATGAGTATAGTAAATACATAATTGTGTTTAAAAGGAAGCGTCATCCAAATTATTAAAATTGCACTTAGATTTTCTGTAAATACTAAATAATTTTCAACTGTAATCATCATTCAACACTCCAAAGATTGACACAATTATAATTAATACTTAGATGGGAAGTAATTACATGGTTCTTACTGCTGTATAAATTATACCATTACTGAGTCATATGCACATGATGCGATAAGGTAAGTATGCATTTTTTGCTAAGTACATGAGAGTAAGTATGTATTTTGCTAAAATAACAGAATTCTTTTGCAGTTCAGCAAAATTTCAATATTCTCAGTATACTGTACCCAAACCAACAAAAATTCACAATTTTGCATTGCAAAACTGCTGGCAGGCCTTGCCAGAACGTAAGCTATATTTCACATTTGTATTTTTAACAGACAGAACTATTCCTCCGTATAAAGCACTAGTGTAAACAGTTTTGTGGTATGCAAAGTATCCTGCAATAAGAGAAGCAAAACTCCACACCATCTATTAGGGGCCAGAAATTAAAACCAACATAGAAATGTACCAGTCAGTTTTATTGGCAGGAAAATAAAAAGGGAAGGAAAGCACAGAGGTTTATTTATGCAGAATAGGGCATGCTTTCATAGCTGTGTCTTCCTGCAGCTCTTGGAGAGCTGCCTAGAACAGGGTAAGACACTGGGACCAGACCTGCTTACTTCAGGCTGCTACTGGGGAGGTGGAGGGGGAAATCTAATAAACAAATAATAGAAGGCAAATGTGATTTTTTTTTTTCCTGAAAGTGAGTCCCTCTTTTACCTGTAACATGGCAAACCTGAAGGTTCTTCTGACAAGCACAGATGACTTTTCACATCTGGCAGGCAAGTCTCTACTCTGTTACAGATGCTTACAGTTTTTGTGCATTTTGGGAAATCCTTTCAACCTGCTTGGCTTTTAACCTGACAGGGATTTCATGACCTTCCACTAACTTTCTATCTGTGGTTTACAAAATAAACTAATTTTAAGTAGGCCTCTGATGAAAATGGGAGATTTGCATTTTGCCTCATGATAAAAATGCATTACTAAGATTATAGAAAGCTAATCAGAGTCTGTCTTCATTTGGTAACAGTTATGCATCCTTAGCATCGCGATCTGGATTGTATGTAGCAGCATTACTTACAAATAGCTGTCGACTCCCTCTTGTGGTATGCCACTTTATAAAGTCAAGTCATCTAGTTATCACGCTGCACAGAGTTCACGAGGGACTTGTCCATCAAAATAATCCCAGCTTCTTTGTCACACAGATATGGAAGCCAACCAAAACAAAATTCCATACTGTAGCATTTTTGTAAGTTACCACTAAATAGTTTATGTCATTAATTATAAACAAATATCTTTAAAAAAAACAAACTGTGAATTCAAAGTAGAGTATGCTGCCTTCAGTGATACCTTACCACGTTCACTTGCAAGAGTGGCTTAGAATTTTCTACTCTTGTTAATCTTTTTAACCAGGTGATATCCAACAAAGTTGTGGGAAAAAAAGCTTATAAACCCAACGCATATACCTCTGCAAACAGACAATACTAGAAAGAGAAGTTTACAGCTCTAAAGTTGGTCTGACAGCTTCCGCTGCTACTACTGGAACAGTGTTGAGATTTCTTGTAATGATGCAATAAGAACATGATTTCATTTCTTGGAGAATATTTAAGATCCCAGATAAATCTCAGCAAAGCTGACAGAGTGTCTCCTGATGCTCCTCTTAAGAAATTCATATCCTCCTATCAGATTTTATCCTAAACTCTCACATAATTTTGATGTCCATCCAAAACAGGCTTAACACAGGCCTTTCATTTATTACATGATTAATATCAGAAAGAAACTGTTTCGACATGCTGTTTCTTGCTATGTGATAACAATACTGTATTTCTGTAGTCATCTCTTTTGCTTCAATTTTTAGTATACTGATCTTTACACAAAACTTTTAGTAAAGAACATACATGTATTCGATCGAGCTTCTGTGCTTTTTATTGCGTCGATATCACTTTGGTACTACCCACAGCCCTTAGCCTCCTGTTACAGGCAACTAAGCAACTGTCGACTAAGCAACATCGCGGTTCAG